AAACAATGGCCTGCTACTTGTTATTTGACTTTATAGGGGAGATTTGCTAAAACTGGATCTCTCAGAATCTGGTGCAGCTGTGCATGGTAGCCAATCAGCTTCTAACTTCAGCTTGTTGAATTAACCTCTTCACGACCACATTGTACTGCGGACAGGCGGCTGCTGTATGCAAAATGACATATGGATACGCTGCTACCTACTTCTGGGTTTCCAGCGCTTATATCCCCCCGAACCCCACCGGCACCTGCTGTGATTGTAGACAGCAGGTGTCTGTCAGCAAGTCCCAGCCAATGATTCACGGCCAGGCCCTGCTGATCGGCTGTGTACAGTCACAGCCCAGAGCTCTGTGCTGACATTCAACACAGAGCTCTCTACACAGGGAGTGATCTGTCAGTTTTTCATTGCAGCAAAGCAAGGATGAGATACTGAGAGATCTATTTGTAAGAGCAGCACACTGTACACACATTACACATGGTTAGGCACACATCTAACCCCTTGATCACCCTAGATGTTAACCCCTTCCCAGCCAGTGTAATTAGTACAGTGACAGTGTATAGTATTTATCACTGTGTTAATGTCACTGGTGATATCAGTGTCAGATTACCCACTACACTCTCATAACTCCATTAAAAATCGCTGGTTGCCACCATTAGTAGTGTGTGTGTATGTAAGTATGTATGTACGTACAGGGGCGGACTGACAACTCATGGGGCCCCCGGGCATTAGGGAATCATGGGCCCCCTGTGTCCTTGCCCAAACTCAAAAAATCCTATGAAAAAGGTACCAGGGGCATCTCATGGGGCCCCCAACTAACCTTGGGCCCTCGGGCAGTGTCAGAGTTTCCAAATGGTCAGTCCGCCCCTGTGTGTATGTATGTAATCAGGGGAGGACTGACCATTTGGAAACTCGGGCACTGCCTGAGGGCCCGGGGTCAGTAGGGGGCCCCATGAGATGCCCCTGGTACCTTTTTCATAGGCTTTTTGAGTTTGGGCAAGGACACAGGGGCCCCATGATCCTCTATTGCCCGGGGGCCCCATGAGTTGCCAGTCTGCCCCTGTATGTAATATATATTTCCAGTATCTATTCCATAGTTTGTAGGCACTATAACTTTCACACAAGACAATCCAATATTGGGATTTTTTTTTCCACACAAAAACATGTAGCAGAATACATTTTGGCCAACAT